CTAACTCACCACCTGCCTATATGACCTTTTCATCCGTTAACATCATCGGTAACCCCACACCCTGGAAATGGCACATACAGCGCCGCATTCTCTGGCCCCCACTTAATAAAAGAAGTGAACACAGCGGGGGGTAGGAGTGGGGTGAGGTGGGCCTGAATCCCTGAGATATGAACTCAAGCACATACCTTCAACTTCCTGGGCCTCGGTTTATCTGTACAACGGCAACAAAAGCAATCATGCTACTTTGCATAATTGTTAGGAAGACTGAGTTCCTATTCATGTATGTAACACACTTAGAATAGCCTGAATAATTGGTGAATAAGTTAGTACGGTTAGCACTGGTAGTTATTATCAATGCAATCACCACACTCTCTCCTCCGGGATAAGCGTTTTGCTTGAACAGATCGTGAATCAGGAAAAAAGTGTGTGTTTAAGGATAATGGGAAGGCCCTGACTAGTTACCGTAAGTTTACCAATGGAGAGGAGAGTGATCTCTCTAGTAACTTGCGAAATGCTATCCGTTTCTCCCCTCCTGGTCTGCAGCAACTCAGAGCCCTGCTCCTGCTCCTGCTCCTGCTCCTGCTCCTGCCGGGCTGTGTGCATGAACCCAAAGGCCGGTGGACAACACAAGGAGGCGCACCTGCAGGGAGCAACTGCATCAGCAGAGAAGGGTCTCTCAGAGGCTCAATGCCCATGGCCCTGAGCCGCAGTCAGCAGGACAATGGAACGAAATGGAAAGAACATCTCTAACCCGGAGCGTGGGCATCGCTCAGTGCTGTCCTCAATGCTATCCACATAAAGGTTTCCGCTGAGTAACTGCAGCGTATTTTTATTTATTTTTTGAAAAACGTTTTTAATGATTTTTAGAGAGGAAGGGAGAGGGATAGAGAAACTTCGATGAGAGAGAAACATCTTTGATCAGCTGCCTCCTGCACTCCCCCTAGTAGGGATTGAGCCCGCAGCCCGGGCATGTGCCCTGACCTGGAATCCGGCCAGTGACCTCTTGGTTCCTAAGTCGACGCTCAACCACTGAGCCACACCAGCTGGGCACCTGCAACATGTTTTCAGAAAGCAGGGGCTTCCCTATGCTGAGTCATGCTGCGTCCCACTGGGAAGTCTCATGTCAACCCCTGAACCATGTCTCGCATCTCTCCTTGCCAAGGTTCTTCCTGCAAAAAGTACCTCAACTGTGTTAAACTTCAGCTTTGCGGGAAGGTTGACCCGACCGACTAAATCCTTGGTGATATAACTGCCTAAGCATCATCTAACCCTTTTCTTTAACTGCTGTGCAGTCTTGCACCATTTCAAAGTACAAGTCCTGGCTACCTTGAACGGGCACTTGCTCTCCAGAGGAGCCCTTTAGAAACATGGATTATCTCACTTAGTCCTCCAAGCTACCCTTCGCAGCAGGTACTATTATTATTTCCCTTTTAAAGATGGAAAAGCCGTGGCTTAGTAAGAGTTTTAGGAATCCTTGTGGAAGGTTGAATTCAGCAAGCGTTTTAGAATGAGTAAGCGGCAGTCACATGCAACTGTCCATTGGCAAGCTGTCTCTTATTAGAGCGGGAACTGGGGTCCAGCAGGCTCGGTTGGACTTGGCTCCAGCACTCTACCTGTGTGACAGTGGCAGACTTTAACCTCTGCACCCTGGCCTCACCCATGAATTAAGAGAAACAAGAGTCGATCAATGTTGGGGAGTCAGTGCAGGAAGTTGGACTGTGATGGGGAGTCGGTGCTACTTCAAAATGTGCCTTTCCACATAGCACCAGATGATTAAAATCGCCAACTCCACCACTGCACCTGTCGCCAATCACTCAAGGATGCACTTTTAGAGGCATGGACTACACTCTCATCAGGTGTGATGGATTTGGTGATGAAATAGTTGGCAATGGAAACGAGGCCCAGAAAATTCAGTAGAAGACACAGTGGGAATGTCACCCACGTCTTTTCTTCAGTCCCATCTGAGCAGTTTTCACAGGGACACGGTCAGGTCTGGGAGTGTTTACCGAGGGCGGATGTTACGTCTTTGCTTACGGTCAGGAGTGTGGGGTGCAGGCATGCAAGCAGGGCTGGCTGCCCAGGGTCACCTGGACCACAGGCAATATCCCCCATTTCTGGCAAAAAGGGAAACACTCTAATACTTTCAGAACAAAGAACGGTTTGTAATTTATGACCTCCGGTAAGAAAACGAGGGTTTCCATGGCTTCCTATCGAAGAGGTGTGTGTGTTTTCCCTTCCAAAAATCCTGGTTGATACGGAAATGTTTCCTTTTTGAGAACCTGGCACAGGAATGCGCTCAGGAGCCCGCCGGGCAGCTGGGCTACTCCCTGCACTTGCCCGACTCACGCACCTTATGTGGATTGGCCACCAATCAGCTGGCCAGCGGGGAGCAAGTGGAAGAGGTGGTTCTTTTCTGGTCACTGCACTCTGATAAGCAATCAGGATCCAAGATGCTCTGTGGGAATCTAGACACATGCCTGTTATTCAGAATCCCGTCTGGAGGATCCTGAGCTATGAAGCCAACTGCTTCCTGGGGACGGCCAGCTCTGAGCCAGGCGGCGGTAGGAGTGCCAGGGTTCCCCAGGGCAGCCCAGTGAGATTGAGTCCTCTCAGCTCCAAGATCCTGTTTGACCCGGGAAAACCTGGCCAGACAGCATCCTGTGGCAAACAGGTACACACAGGAGGCATTAACCCTCTCTGCCAAATAACAGCCCTTTCGGAACAGTCATCTGTCATCCAAACACTAATCACCCCCGTCAATCACCCCATCTAGTTTGTTATCATCCGTATTAGGTTAAAAAGGAAGCACACACAAAGAAGTCTGTTTTAACCTGAAATAATTTTGTTGATATTTGAATTGCGTTCAAGTGGGACATTTGCTTGAAACCACAGAATTCTCCGTCTGGATGATCATAGTACAAAAACCCTTCTCTCCCTCCCCGCACCCCACCCCCCCAAACCAAAAAACCCCAAACCCACAACTCAGCTTCAAATGAGTTTTAAAGAAATGAGACTCTAAATATTTACATATGGATTGAGAAATAAATCACAAAACTATTTACAAAAATACACAAGCCGTATATGCAGTAACAATTTACACGGGTTCACAAAAATATTAAAACATAAAAAAAAACCACTATATAAATTAAAATTAAGGAACTCAAAAGGGTGGTCTACGACGTCCTAGGATGCTTCTCACATGCAGGTCATGGTTGAAAAATCAGGTTTTGCTACCTCAGAATCTACACTGTCAAACAACCATTTTAATCTCTGAACACTTAACAGTAGGCATAGGACAAGGCAGAGCCCGCGCACACTGCGTGTCTTGCACAGTTAACACACCATCCCCGGCGTTTCCGGCACACACAGCACTGACAGTCACATGCCTCTAACCACTGGGAAGTAACCTCCTGACATACGCTTGCTTTCATCATCACTTCCTTACACACCCTGCTCAGGTAACGCTTGGCCGATACTGGATGGGTGGTGGGCAGGGCAGGGGACCGACGTGTGGCCTTGGCAGGCTCCCTCGTTAGCAGAAGGGGCAGATTTCAAATTCACATTGTGTGCATCCGCTGCCGCCTCCGATGTGTGAACCGCCTCTCCACCCCCTCCACACTCTGTCCAGGTGAGCCCTAGAATTTTCAACCTGACCCTAACTGTTTTCTAAAAATGCTCTCTGTCATTACAAACATGTGCAGGCCTCCCCGTGGGGCCGTCCAGGGATGGCGTTTTAAAAGGAAACTGAAGACAGTAAGCAATAAGGCTCAGATGAAATTTAGTGACAAGAGAATGGCGCCTCTGGGGCTGTTAGCAACGTCTCTGGCCAGACACCCGGGGAATATTGATTTCGATCCAACCACACACACTGGCATCAGGATCTTGCCAAAGATAAAACCTGGAGAGAGGATTATGAGAATCCCAATAGAAATTTGGGTTTGATGCATAAGGCAGCTCCATTTCCTTGATCAGAATGCTCCACGACAGTTGGAAAGGACACTATCTGGGAAGTCGCACAGGCGGACTATACTGAGGTAACCCGGCTCACAGTGATTTGCCATCCGATTTCTACCCGACGGTATTAGAAAGGGAAAGACACAGGCAACGTCCCTTAAATAACCAACTCCGAAGTTAAGGCTGTTTCTACACACAGGAAGTGAAACAACGCTAGACTGTACCTAGCGTTCGTGTTTCACACTCATACCGGTAATTTGAGTCATTTTTTTGTCATCAAAATATTTACCTGATTATTTCTGAGCCCATAGGACACGAGTAAAATAACTGCTTTGAGGAATCGACCGTAGTGTTTATAAAAGACTTCGGTCGCAGGAGAAATTGTGTGTGACCACAAATCCACGAATATTAAGACTGGACGGAGGGATTTTCAGCCACGCCCCTCTGGACTCACAGCCTTCTAAATCCTTTTTCTTTTTTACTAAAAATAATATATATATATATATATTGCTTTAGGAGAACAAATGGTGTGAAATGTTTTACCAGGATGACACTTTACCAAATATTAAGGGGAAAAACCTGTCATTAAAGCCATCTATGTCCTCGCCACAGCAGCTCTCTCCCATGGCCATGCTGCCGGGAGAACACGGGGCCGTGTGATCACAAAGGGCAATAGGCTGTCTACTTGATAAAAAGATGGTTAAAGTAAAAAATAAAATTAAAATCAGTGCCGTCTATTCACCAAAGACCAAACTCCTGTCACAGCACCCGCGGTTCGTGTACCGAGCGGGAGCCGGCCAGGTTGCCTAACGGACGCTGGGCCAGGCGGGTCTGCACCTTTAAGGGGAAGGCCCGCGGCCCACAGGCCTCTTCACAGATCGATCCCAGGGTTTCTTCTACCAGGATCCTGACGGAATCCCTCTGATCAATTCTGGGGCAACAAAGGAAAACCTTACAGAGTATGTTCACATATAAATAAATGTGTCATTCTTAAAACTTTATTTCTTGGCCTAAATATAAACCCTTAAAATGCAGTCACACGTGTGTTTTTTTTTATTTTTATTAAATAAAAAAGGAACTGGCATGACTCCTAATCTTTATACAAATTCACAGCAATCATAGCAGCATAAATTTAGCCTCTTAAAAGATTTCTTCCTTTGCTCTAAATACAAGTTAATTCCAAGTTTTATAAAAGCCAGAGCAGCGACCATCCAGTGAATGGAATGAAAGCCCCCAGGTGTGAATGTATAAAAATCAAGTGTTACTAAGAGTCCTGGAATGAAATGACAATCGAAACGCGTCCTGGTAAAGGCAGGACTGCCTTGCTCGCCTGGCACGCGCGATCGGGGTGAGTTGAGAAAATGGAATTGCGTTGGGCTGGAGAGGTGCCTAGTCCAACTCGAATCGGGAATGAGTGCAACTCTCAAAAGAAAGTTGTGGGTGCCGGGCACATGTAACATGCCCAGAGTTATCAGAATGGTACCGGAAATGCTGGTGTCGATGGCAGTTACAGTAGACTGTGATAGCAGAGGGGGTGAGCAAACAGCACGCCATTCCTCAGGGCAGAAACGTACCCGCCCGGGATGCCCGCGGTGAAACGGGGCTGTGTACTGCACCGTTATTGCAGGTTTACGAACAGGTACGACATAGCTACTGTAAGGATCCCCAGGAAACCTGCAGTCAGAAACAGAACTTAACGTGTAAGTTTGCCATCATGATCAATTGCGTGTTTAAGTCAAACCATGCTGGGGGTCGTTTCCATTTTTAATGGAAAAAAAAAGTTGCTTTAGGGAAACAAATGGTGTAAAATGTTTTACTAGGGTTATAAGTCACTAACTCTTCTTAACTGAAGGCGGAGGGCACACTGGAAGCAGGGACAGAGCTCTCTGGTGCTAACAGCGCCCCCTGGTGCCCGCCTGAGAATGTCTGACTCTGCCTTTGACCATGCCTTCCCCTGGGATCTGAGCCTGTTCCTGGAGCTGAGAAACACCTCTGAGGAATAAGGATGCGCAGGACATGGGGCAGCCTGGGCCTACATGGTTTGACTCTTTACGATGACTCTACTACACGCTTAGTCTTACTTCCTGTATGTTTTAGTCAGAATCTGCAAATGTTCAACTGACTTAGCTTAAGGATCAGGGGTTTTTTCTCTGTTGGAATTTAACACGAGACGGGGAGAATGACATGACAGCTGGGTGCCAGCCTGAGCCAGCGACACGGGCCCTGGAGGCGTCGGGAGGAATGCAAAAGGAAACGGATGGCAACTGCTCTGAAATATACGGCCGACACCGGGAAGGACAAAGCCACATTCAAATGCAAGTCCAGGCAGTCCTCAGGCTCGTACGGATGCGCGTGAGGTGGCGACAGGCTCTCTCCGAGGTTGTCACCACCGTGCTTTACAACCACTCAGATCTCGTCTAGTGACCAAGCGAGTCCTTAGAGGCGGAAAATGGAACAGGAAGGGGAGAAGGGTGGCGATTGATTTTTCTTACTATGTTTTGTTTTTGAATGTGGTTGGGGGGTTTGTAGCTTTTTTCTTTTCCTTTTTTTTAAATCTTTTTGGTTACTGAAAAAAATAGAACAGTCCACTGTCCAGCAGAGGCTGCTTCAACTCTATTGCTCTCGGGGCTCATTCCGCGTGGACCTGGGTTTCGGGGTGCTGCAGGGACAGCTCCGCGGGCAGGAAGGCGCCCTGCCCCAGCGCGGTGGCGTAGGTCCTGCTCTGCGGGTGGGCGAAGCCGGGGGGCAGGTAGGCCCCCATGGCTCCTCCCGCGAAGCCTCCTCGCTGGAGCTGGGGCGGGGAGTGGTAGCCCTCCAGGTTGTCGTACTGGGACACGGTGGCCAGGCTGCCCTGGCGCCGGCCGTGCGCTGGGTACTGGCACAGCTCCCCGCTCTGGGTGTGATGGAGCTTCAGGCTGTGACTCCGCTCCGGCTTCGGGGGTGGGACCGAGGCCTGGCCGAGCGGCTCGTCCTCCGGGTAGCAGTCTCGGGGGTGTTTGTCTGGGGCGGGGGGCTGCCTGGCCCGAGGCCTCTCCAGCTCTTTGCAGAGCCTCGCCTCTTTGTGGTTCAGTCGCAAGGACTCGGGGCCCACGGTCATGTACTTCCCTCCCGAGTTATGGTAGCTGGCGGGCTCACAGGCGTCCGGACTCCCCTTGGCCCCATAATCTAAGTGGCCGGCCCCCTGGGGGTGAGGGGGCCCGCTCTTCGGCTCGCACAGGTGCCTATGGCTTGCTTCCTGGTGTGCCCTGTGCTCCGGGAGGCCGCAGCCCGGGTCGTGGAGCTTGCGGTTCCTGAGGCTGCTCTGCTTCTGCGGGAGGGACGGTTTCTCCGGCTGCCCGTTGCCGTGCCCACCGTGCCCTCCGTGGTAATGGGCCCTGTCCAGCTCGGCCTCCGGGTGCTTCCTGTAGAAGGGGTCGCCGCCCTCGGGGCTGAGGGCCTTCCCCGGGGGCCGGGCCTCCTTCCCCTCGGCCACGGAGAGAAGTCCAGTTTTCCCAGGATCGGATTTGCTGCGCAGGTGGATGACATAGAGCCCGCCCAGCTCGTCCTGCAGGGCCGGGCCCATGTTGTCGTACTGGGACATGACGGGCCCCTTCACCTTCTGCCGGGCCCGGCTCTCCCTGCGGATGGACTGCATGCGGTACTTCTCCATGTCCTCGAAGTCCCACGAGGTGTAAGTGTGCTTCCCGTCGGCGGCCGGGGGCATGCCGATGACACCGTGGTCATTACCGGAGAAATAGCCGGTCACGGTGGCCCGGGGCCGGGGCGGCAGCCCGGGGTACCCATACAGGCTCTTCCCCTGCAGCCGAGGGTTGTGGAAGGCGAAGTCGCGGCTGGGCAGGCGGTGCAGGGGCCGCAGCTGCACGGTGCCGTAGGCGTCCACGTCGCACAGGGCGCCGTCGGGGCTGTAGTAGGAGCCGGAGGAGCTGGAGTAGGGGCTGTACCGGTAGTGCACCCGGCCGTTCTCAAAGTAAGGCTGCAGCTGCGTGACGTGGTAGTCCGAGCGGGCCTGGGAGGCCGGGTATGGCTTGTACTGGTACAGGGGCCTCGGGCAGTAGGCCGGCTCGTCGTCGGGGGGGACCTCCGTCCGGGAGATGGGGACGGAGCGGATCATGGCAGCCGGGGGGGTGTGGAGAGACTGCACCCTCCGGATGGTGGGGTACGGGTCTTCTGGGTAGCAACCGCCCCGAACAGATGAGCTCAGAGAAGACACGTACTCGACCCGGCTGCACGGCTTGGAGTGGTGTCCGGACGCGCTTCTCCCGGGGGCCACGTAGGTGTTGTAACGGGGACCCACGGAGGCTGGCGGCTCGGACCGGGCCCCGTAGGCGTGGTGCGGCTCCAGGCCGCTGTGATGGGGCGGCACGCTCTGGGCGCGGTACTGGCAGTTTGGAGTCATATTGAAATGCACACAGTTTTCCGGACCGAAGGGCTCAGGGGTGACGTCGGGCCTCGTGAAGGTGGCGTAAGCGGCTTTCTGAGGCGCGTGCTTCGGCTGCGGGGCGGGAAGTGGCAAAGGCAAGACATCATCCCCGGCGGCCGAGGCGAAGGGATGGTAACTGGCGCCGCCGGCTGCCTCCGCACCACCGCAGTGGATGGCGGCCGCGACTTTACTCTCCATCGTCCGGGTGGGGGGCACTGGGGCCGGGAAGCCACAGGGAGCCATGTACGGGGGCAGACTCCGCACGCAGGTGCAGTGGGGGCGCACGGGGACCTTCCCGCAGCTTTTCGGGGGAGGCCCGGCTGGACAGCAGGACACACAGTGGGGGCAGAGGCGGGACACGGAGCGGCAGCCCCGCCGTCACCGACAAGGCCGGGAGGAGGGTCGTCTGCGGCCCTGGGTTGTGGCGGCCTCTCCGGAGTGGGCACAACTCCTGGGACCTACGGAAAAATGAGGACAGCGTGAGTTTTCTCCTGTGCTCCCCTCTGTGGAGTCAGCACCATCACACTGGTAACTCACAAGCTGAGGCTAGCGGAGAGCAGCTTGAAACTCCCCCAGCCACACGGTCGTGCTGGCCAGGACAGCAGGCCACCCTGTCCCCACAACCAGGAAACGGCCCGCGGGGCCACCTGGCGGAGCGGCCACCTCCATCGTGAGGACTGTTCTAGCTGGTGATGGGTATGAAGGTGAGATGAGGTTGCCTGTGACGTTGTCTTAATGTGCAGACCAAAACAGAGGTTTAATCAAGTAACAGCCACGCTTAAAAACAGATGCTGACTCTGCCCAGCTCAGGCTCACCAGCAGCAGGAACACTTTGCTGAACAAAGAGAGGGGTTCTCTCTGGAGAGATGTTTGAAGTGAGGCGCTGTAAGCCCCAGGGGGCACTGAACTCCAGCAGGTACCGCCCCCCTCTGCCTTCGACCCGCCCTGGGGTGGCCGCAGACGCCAGGGCTGCAAACACCCCGCCTTGAGATGCAGCTGTAGACATAGCGTCCTCCAGGGAAGACTAGACAATAGTTCAAGGTGATCACAATACACCTGGGGCATTTTTTTTTTTTTAATATGAGAAAATTAGGAGGAAACCTTAGCATTTTGCGTACAACATTCTCTCATCGAAATGAGTGCTCGCTCGACTGCAGAACCTGCTGCTTCGTGTTGAGAAAATAACCTCACTCTTCTAAAAAGTCTGCAAGGCAGGACGCCTTACACACCTCCTGAGACTCAAGCGCCCGTATCGGGCAGACGGGAATAACCGGCGGGCGAGGTTCAATGACTTGCCCGAGGTCACGATGAGTCAGGGCCGGGGCCGGGAGAACCAGGGCAGCCCTGATACCCGAAGCCCCGTCTGACTCACTATCACCTCTGGTATCGCTCTGAAGAAACTACCCGGAGGCTGGCGGGAGGCAGCAGCAGCGGGCAGACGTGGTTAGGCCACGGTCGTTGTGTAACTGCTCCTTCCTGAGAAAAACCAGCAACGAGGAAAAGGCAGATACCAACCTCCAAGGGGAAAAGCTTCATGAAAACCCGCCCGAGGACTGGAAAACAGAGACCGTGTCTGACTCCAAGACCACCCCCTGCTGAAAAAGGACAGACCTTTGCAAAGTGCATTTCCTTCCCCGCTTCTTACCTTGTGGGAATTATTTAACCCTGCGCAGGCCGTTGCTGGCACCTGCCCCACAGCTGGTGACGGCTCTGCTGGTCTCTGGGAAGGAGGTGGGGGAAGGGGCCGGTGGGTTCTGTGCGGACGCTGGAGGGTGGCGGCGGCAAAATCCGCTGCGGTGGGCTGCTCCGCGGGGTCCCAGCAGGCTTCCCAGGCGCCTGTGTCAGCCGCCGCCGCCGCTGCCACATAAGCCAGGCCGGCTGTGCTGACAGGCTCCTCGGGGGACCCAGGAGGAGGGCAGGGTTTGTCTCTAGAGGGTGTGGGAGATGTGTCAGTGAGTTGTGAGGGCTGATGGGGCTGATCCACACTTGCACCGAGATAAGACGGTGGCTGATCTCCGCTGTAGAAGTGAACTTGAGTCTGGTCCTGATCCGCGAAGGAGACGGTCGGCCCGGTGGTCTTCCCGGGCTGGTCTTCCCGGAAACTGATGTGCTCGTCAGACTGTGAGTCTGTTAAGGGACCTGCAGTGGTTCTGGCCTGGTCTGGGTCCCCAGGTGCACAGGCTCGATGGGGCTGGAAGTCGGCCTGGCGGGGCTGCTGCCCGGGCTCGGGGGCGCTGGCGTGGGCTTGGTGCCCGGCGGCGGCCGGGTCGGGCAGGAGCTGGTGGCCGCTCCCGGATGCGTGGTTCGGGAGGAGGAAGTGCTCTGCGGGCCCATCGGCTGGGACACAGGCTTTGTCCAGAGTCATGTGAGGATGGTAAACAGGCAGCTGCTCTTCGGCTGCAGCCAGGGCCGCGTCTCCATAGTTCACCGGAGCGGATTGGCAAGCGCCTGGTCTCTTCAGCGACTGCGTCGAGGCTTGCTGTGCGGACTCGGCTAACGCCAGCGCCAACAGGCGGGCGACGTTTTTCGGAGGCGGTGGCGGTGGGATAAGAGACACTGAACTGACAGGCATGGCCTCCTGAGGGGGGTCATGGGTAACTGCTCCTGGTGGGAAATTGGGAGAAAAAATGAGAGTGAAAAGGCCGCTTGTGTTATCCCATCTACGGAAAGCCAACACTCCCCGTTGGGGCCCTAAAAAACAGGGGCCTTCCATATTTCAAAATGGCAATCCACGATCTTCCGTCCCACATGCAACATCTGCCGCAGAAACATCTGGTTCGGAGGAACACTAACACCGAGAGGGGGTGAGGCCTGCCCCTCCTCGTGAGCTGCTACAACAAGCAGGTCCCCCACGTGGCTCAGGCAAGATGGCTTAGAACACAAGCTCCACGTGCTTGCGGATGGCTTAGGATGGTTTTGCCGGTGGAGGCTGGCTGGTTAACGTGGAAGGCTAAAATACAGGCATTTTACCAGAAGAGAAAACAGAATCAAGAGCTACGAAGTTGTGCAAAAAATATCCATGGATTCTGACTGTCCAAAGAGACCCGCGGACTCTATGGAGTCGGACACAGGACCACCGGCCCTTCGCGGGTCTTGTTTGAGTTTAGTGTAAGGCTTGGAGCACTCAGCACCACCCGGAACCGCATTCTCTTTGACTAAAGGGCAGGTGTGAAGTGAATCTCTCCCTGACAAGGCACAGGCGGCACAGGGACATGAAGATCCTGCTCAGCTTAAAGAAAGAGTGGAGGAAAGCAAACGGTACCTGTCTGAGCCTGTCCAGAAGGTACAGCCTTACTCTGACCGTCGGACATGCACGGCTCCTCCTTCTCCTGTCCCGGCGCCTCTACCTCTGCGGCCGCTGCCACCGCCACCGCCAGGCCTGGGGGCTGGACTCCAGGCTCACATCCTTCCAGGGCCTCCCTCTCGTTTGCCTTCATCTTTCCTACCTGGGGAGGGGATCTAGTTCCGACGGCACTTTCGTCCACACCCGTGTGCCAGGCGGGAGATCGGGTCTGGGCTGCCGTGGCGGAGGCTGTGGTGGAGGCCGTGGTGGAGGCCGTGGCGGAGGCCGTGGCGGAGGCTGTGGTGGACGGGGGGGGAGGGTCACTGAAATGGGCTCAGATATGTTCAGAGAAGGTGATTTGCCTAATTTCCGTCCGATTTGTGATTTGCCTAATTTCCGTCCGATTTTTGGCGAGAACGCGTAGACAACCTTCTCCGTGAAGGAGGACGGCTTGGTCCAAGGTGAAGAAGGGGCTCGGGGTCTCCCGCAGAGGAGACATGGGCTCAGAACTGGCAGTGCTGCCCGGGGTCTGGGCCCGGCTGCCGCCGGCTTCCGAGTCCCTCTTATTTGCACTTGGCTTATCCTTGGGGTATCCCGTGGGGGAGTCTAAAAAGGCAGCGCCGCCCTCCGGGCCCTCAGCCTCGGCCTTCGGGGGGCTGCACTGAAACGACATGGGGTCGAAATCCAGGCCGGCCACGCCCATGTCCGGCGGGCTCAGGTCCACATCCTCGGCCGAAGGGGGGGACACCAGGGCTGGGATGTGGAGCAGCCCCACGTCCTCCTCGCTCTCGTTGTCGTGGGGCAGGTTGTCGTAGGAATTGCAGCGGTTCCCCAGCATTTCTCCGTTGAAAGAGGCGCTCAGGGCGTCACTGCTGGACCGCGGTCTCCTGGGCCGGAACAGCTTGGAGTCACCTGGGGAACGGACGAGAGTCTCTCAGTGTGAACGTCACAGGGGCACCCCCACTGCTCACCTACCGAGGACACACGGGGAAAGGAAAGGTCTCCTTTTCTTATGGGAACTGTCTCTTGGGGCTCACAGATGGGGCCCCCAAGCCAAATGCTCAAGGACACGCACCTCTGACATGATGGGAGGGAGAAGGCAGCAGCTGTCGATTTCCATCGGAAAAGGGCTCAGAGCTGCCAGGTTCTACCCACTCGTCCAACACTGACTTTTGTTGTGACTTTAGGGGAGTTTTTTATTTCTTTTTGTCTTATTTTATCACTGACCTCACACAGGACTTGAGAGGCAAAATCAATCACTTTATTTTTATTATTTTAAAATATATTTTATGGCCTTGACCGGTTTGGCTCAGTGGATAGAGCGTTGGCCTGCGGACTCAGGGGTCCCAGGTTCGATTCTGGTCAAGGGCATGTACCTTGGTTGTGGGCACATACCCAGTAGGGAGTGTGCAGGAGGCAGCTGGTCGATGTTTCTAACTCTCTATCCCTTTCCCTTCCTCTCTATAAACAGTCAATAAAATATATTTAAATATATATACATATACATATATATATACATATTATGGATTTCAAAGAGGAAGGGAGAGGGAGAGAGAGATAGAAACATTAATGATGAGCTGATGGGCTGCCTCCTGCATGCCCCCTACTGGGGATCAAGCCTGAAACCCGGGCACGTGGCCCTGACATGGAATCGAACCGTGCCCTCCTGGTTCCTAGGTCAATGTTCAACCACTGAGCCACACCGGCCAGGTGGAATCATTCACTTTAAATAGTACTTTGGATACATAGCAGCAAAAGAGGTTTTTGTTTAGAGGGAAAAATTCTCATAACCCCCAAATTTCTAAAAATGAACTTCTCAGTTTAAAAAATCCCTACAATCCTATAAAGTATTAACATCTATTTAGTAAGGGATTCCTTTCAGATACTTAAACAAAAATAATTTCCTTTTCCCTCCCTTCAGAGCGGGCTCTAAGTCTCTCAGGCAGTCAGTCCTCGAAAGTGGTGGAGGCCTTTGCAGATCACACAGTTTGATGCCATTGCCAAGCACCCTCCTGACAGAAGTCCTCTATCTCAGCATTCGATTACAATGCTGAGAGCTGCCGGAGTGAGCATGTACCACCGAGAGGCAGAAACTGTCGTAATAAAAACATTCACTAATGCTCTGGCCACGTGTAAAATGAATCCCTCCTTGAAAATTATCTTCTGCTTAATCCTAGCATCTACCCAGTCCTCTACACTGCTCTGTGAAGCATTCTCTTAACTAAAGTGAAATGGAAAATCCTGCAAAACCCACACGATGTGGGACACTCAACTACAGTGACATGTGAGGACTTGTTGAATCACAGCACAGTCACTGGCCAGTGAGGGGCAGTTAGTAAAGGAAGATGAGAAGGCTGATAGGACATCCCAGGATACCTCCAAAGAGCACGAATTGAGCATCAACTGACTAAGGAAAACCCCTGGGCAATCAGGGTGGCTCTTGATTATTTCCTTAAAAGGGCCGTCTTTACAACCTGCCGCCTTCTTTACAAACTCTTTTCTAAAGGATTAGAAGCCAAAGATGACGTCAAGGATGTCCTACTTGCCATTACGTGGTTTTGTCAAAAGTTTTATTTCCCTGCAAGTCAACAATGAAGCAGTGCTTTGTTCATTCTGAAAATTAGTGGCAACTGTAACCCGACTTTAGACAGAAGCTAAAACTTATGTTCATAACCTTTTAGTTTTGCTTTTCAAGTTACAATCCACCCTTTCTGCATTATTTAGCATACAACTCCGGTCCCCATTTTAAGCAGATTCACTTTACGTTGCCTTCTCCTGATAAGATTATCCTCCATAACTGATCTGATCTATGAAATTTAACATTAAGTTAGCCATTTTCAAGACAAAAGTCTTCTAGTCTGAATATCAAAACTGCTTAATTGTACCCTTTGTAACACTGTGTTCTCACTGTGAAATCTAAGAAATACTAATAATATAATTTTTCACTGGGCATTAATAAATAGAAATGGTTAACTTAAACCAATTCGCTCATTCTTATGCAAATTGAATAGCAATTATGTCAAAAGTGAAGAAATTAGAGACTGGTACTATATTAAAACATCAATGGAAAATACTAAATAGATACTAATATTCTTAAGAAGTGATGCTCTACGGCCTCTTTGCTAAGCATGTATTTACAAAATACACTTGCTTGTTATGTTCTTTTCTGAAATATAGAATAAAACGACTGGTGCTTTTCCTCTTACCATCGACTGCATGGAGAGAAGTAAGAGACTCTTCACTCTTCGCTGATCGGAGGGTTCCCTCTGCCCGGCCACCTACAGAATCAAAACCAAACAGTGTGACGTTTTAGTCATTATTACAGTGAAAAGGAGCAGTGTTTTTCTCTACACACACTTAAACTTCCAAGAGCGATTAGTTGTACATTTTGACAACCATACTCAATTTAGCATCATGCTACCTAATGTATTGTTGTTCTCAAGTGGTTGCCTATAGGAAAAATCTCTTTTCTAAAGGATTAAGAACTTGAGAATAGAGACGCATTTAAAAACATCTCCTTTTATACTTCCTAAAGAGGAGTGTGCTGCCATACTGGATTGAGGGTAGGTCCTAAACCCAATGACTGGTGTGGTGTCCCTTTAAGAGCAGACCCAGAGAGACAGAGGAAAATGCTCTCTGAAGACTGAGGCGGAGACTGGAGTGACGCCAACACAAGCCAAGGGGTCAGGGTTCACACCTAACCACGGCCCTGCTGACACCGTGATCTCAGCCTCCAGTAGACAGCACCTCCCATTGTAGCGTGCCGGGTGTGGGTCCAGAGAAAGAAAAGAGACGCCGTGGCAGCAGGAGGAGGTGACCTGTCGGCGGGCCAGCTGCCCTCGGCGGAGCACGGGGACAGGGGCGGGGAAGGGCGCTGACCTTTCAGAGCCATGGCCTTCATCTCCGAGGGCTCACTCTCATTGCGCTGCAGCTTCCGCTTGGAAACAGACGACGATTTCCCCAAGTTGAAAAAGGAGCGCCAGCTGCCCACAGGGGACTTTTTCATTTTGTTCTGAGGCCTCCTCCTGTGAGAGAGAAACACTTCCGCATTGAGATATCCAAGGGGCTCCCTTTACTTAGAGAAAATGAGCAAGTGATGGGAAGAACCGGAGCAGGAGAGCACAGCTGAGCACACACCCACCGGCACATGGCACACGGCACACGACTCAGGGCAGCGTGCGGTGCAGCTGAGCGTGGAGTGGAAACTGACTGTATGGGTGTCCATACCAGTGATTAGTTTCACAGGGTAGTTATCACACAGACTGCCACACTGAGAACTACCCTCACAAGCTGGGAAATAAGAGTAAGACATATTTGGGACTAGGAAATATTAACACTCCAAAACTAGAGTTAGGGAAAGTGATTTTAGGTGTGAGCAAAGTGAATGAAGCCAAACACGAAGAAAAGGATTAAGAGTAGTAACTGACATACATGGGATGCCAGGCACTGTGCTAACTGCCTTCTATGTAATATCGCACTTACATGATAAAATCATATGAAGCGGGTACTACATTCTCATTTCACAGCTAAGCAAGTTACAACTCTAAGACGTTTAGTGAACTGCCTTCATGTTATAAAGCCGGCCAATGAACTGTATCCTTTTTCCTAACCATTTTTCCTGTACAACGGACTCTCTTCTTTTTAAAACGACGTGGTGTTGCAATGCTTCTTGAGAAACATGTCTCTCATTCCCTAGGAAGTCTCACCCACAGTCAGAAGAGCACAGGACTGCCTGGGACTGGCCCAGAGCCACTGCAGGAATAGAGTGATAGGAAAAATACAAAGGCAAAGGTAAAACCAAGAGGACACACAGCTTGAGATCACACTGACGAGGATTTAATGAACGCTACCTTTCCAGCGGGAAATCGATGATGGTGTGAAACTTCCCCTGTAGCGCGGCAGGTCCTTCTCCTACTTCGATGTATTTGTTTTCAGTCACCAGAGGAGAATTGATCTGAGCTTGGGTTCTTGCCTGGGCTTCCTCCAATGTCAGCAGCTTGGTGGACGGAGAGGAAATGAGCAGGGACTTGGGCCTGGATAGAGAAGCTTTGGAAAGAAAGAAAAACAATAAAGACAGTCAAACGTTTCTCCAGGGGGGGGGGGGGGGGTGGTGGATGTAAATGTGTGAGTGTGTGGCTATCAACCTGCTTATCTGTCTATCCATCTACCTACCTACCTGTCTTGTTTCAAATTTTCTTCATTCTGTTTTTTAAGTGGCAAAAATAATAGGGCTTTGCCCTGACCAGTTTGGCTCAGCAGATAGAGCGCCGGCCTGCGGACTCAAGGGTCCCAGGTTCGATTCTGGTCAAGGGCATGTACCTTGGTTGCGGGCACATCCCCAGTGGGGAGTGTGCAAGAGGCAACTCATCGATGTTCCTCTCTCATCGATGTTTCTAACTCTCTATCCCTCTCCCTTCCTCTCTGTAAAAAATCAATAAACATATATTTTAGAAAAAAATAATAGGGCTTTATACTAAGTGAGGAATAGAAGGTGACATACCAGGTTGTTACCAATCACACACACACACACACACACACACACACACACACACACTTAGAATTCTTAAGTAATGTGGCCTTGCCTGGTATCACTCAGTATTTTTAGGTCTGGAAAGAATTTTTCTGCTGCTGCTCCATCTTACACCTTTACATCCACCAATAATAAGTAACACGGCATATCTTTTTAATGTGTCATGAATGTAGCTCCCAAAAGGTCTAATATGTAGCATTAACAAAGTACCCAGAAAATAACTATTAAATTGTGCATTTTAGGGAAATGGCCATAAATTAACTGCTTTCTACCAAAGACGGAGTCATGAAACTGAGATAAAAAATGTAGGCTTCACCCTAGCTGGTTTGGCTCAGTGGATAGGTCGGCCTGTGGACTGAAGGGTCCCGGGTTGCAGGCTCGATCCCCAGTAGAGGGCATGCAGGAAACAGCCTATCTATCAATGATTCTCTCTCATCACTGATGTTTCTATCTCTCTCTCCCTCTCCCTTCCTCTCTGAAATCAATAAAAATATATTACAAAAAAAAAAGAAAGAAAGAAAGAAGTGCCATTTCCATGGCTCTGGAAGTGTAGGTGCACGTTCCTGCCAGGAACGCACTCTGGCCGAGCCGCACCTGCCCCCTCCTGAATGACCTCGCTGATTTTCCCACTGAAGAGGACGTCCACGTGGTTGAGGATGAACTCGACGACCACAGACTGAATCCTCACTTCCATGAAGGCCGCTGTGCCGCTGAAGCAGGCGGACTCGATCTGTTTCGATCTGTGGGGCAGACAAGATTGCCATCAGAGTCACAGACATAGCAGTCTTAAAGGGCATTTTTTAAAACATGTAAATCCTTTTTTTAAAAATTTTTCTTTATTGATTAAGGTATTACATGTGTCCTTATCCCCCCTTACCTCCCCCATCCCCGCACTCATGCCCTCACCCCCCTGGTGTCTGTGTCCATTGGTTATGCTTATATGTATGCATACAAGTCCTTTGGTAAATCCCACACCAACCAGAGTAAGAAAAATACTTTCACAGGCCTCAGCTAAGTGCCACTGGCCTGTTTTGGGGAGATGCGCATAAAAACAACAGATCAGTTTTACTTGAACAGGGAGGGTGTCCTTAAGGAACACTGATGAATTAGACTTTAACAAGGTGATTGGATCTACTTAAGGTCAAATGTCAAATGCAACTTACCTGAGCAGGTTTGGAGCCCAAACAATTGCTAGGTTTTTTGCATGCATATTTGTGATGGAACAATAGTCAGCGAGAAGTGACAAGTGTCTCATGAGGAACTCCAGTGTCCTGGAAAACGAAACACAACACTTTAACAACAACAACTCTAAAACCCATCATGTAGCGGTACAGAGCATAACAACTCCACGAACTCGTAATGTTCGATGGCAAAATGGAAACAGAACCATACAAACCCCAGCAAATTGTGTGCTGTTTACTAGGTTTAAACATTATTACCACAGAACTGTCAGAAGATCAGTATGAATTTTATACCTAGATGTAATAACCACATCTACTGATTCTACGGAAAACGTCTAAGGTGAGAAACATGCTTCTGACAGGACTGGCTCTGAGAAAACAGCCTGAGTTTTTAAAAAACCGTTAGCGTACTTGCTCCTGCTGCCAGACACCTGGTTTCAAGACACCAGGGACATGAACCCTCCCCTCTGGCTTCTAGACAAACGATTCCGTGAAGTTATGCTGCTCTAGTTGCAGCAGACATGCTCTGTGTGGCTTGGACACATTTTGAAAAACAAAGGAGGGTCCAGCCAGCGTGGCTCAGTGAATGTGTTGACCTATGAACCAGGAGGTCATGGTTTGATTCCCGGTTAGGGCACATGCCTAGGTTGTGGGCTCAAACCCCAGGGTGGGGTGGGCGGGAGGCAGCCGATCAATGATTCCCTTTCATCATTGATGTTTCTATCTCTCTCTCCCTCTCCCTTCCTCTCTAAAAGCTATATATATATATATAGTTTTTTTTTTTTTAAAAAAAAGGAGGGTTGCAAAAAAGGAAACCAGCAAACAGGCACCCAGCAGTGAGTCCATATTTTGGATTCAAGCAATTCACAAGTCTGCACACTTGTGGCCAGACATCCCAGTACCTTCAGCAATATTTCTCAGTATCGCAAAACAAACACACACAAAGAGACAGGTTTAGTCAACCACCCATTTGCTCATTCATGTATTCGTTCATTCAACATTTATTAAAGCCTACTGCATGCCAAGTACTGTGCCAGGCCCTGGGGATACACAGACAAATAAATATAAATGTATGGACAAATGGCGTGGCTCAGTGGTTGAACTTTGATCTGTGAACCAGGAGGCCATAGTCAGGGCACATGCCTGGGTTGCAGGCTCAATCCCCAGTGGGATGTGCAAGAGCAGGCAATCAATGATTTACTCTCATCATTCATGTTTCTCTTTCCCCCTCTCCCTTCCTCTCTGAAATCAATAAAAATATAAAAATAAATAAATAATAAATAAATAGTTGCAACTCCAGTCAGCAGCCCAAAGGATGAAAACACGTGGCTGGAATTCTGCACGGGGTTTACCTGTAGTGTGGCGGGGGCAGCTGCTGGATGACGTCATGAATCTTGATCAGCCTTTCTTCATCTGTTGCTGCTGAGACAGCATCCTGCAACCATCATAATGCGACATCAACCAGTGGACTTTGTTGGTAAAAATCAAAGTTCTCCACTTACAATTTAGCTTTTTTCACTCTCAGGTAAATCATTCTATCTACTCTTTGGCGCTGAGCGATGAGGAAACACCATGTAGCATCAAGGAAGTAAACCTCCCCCCATACTATGTGGACATTGAAATCTATTAAAAGATAATTTTTTAAAAAACTTTATGGTCACCAACATTAAGTGTGATAAGAGTAGTGGCTCAAAGTCAGAAACAAAAAGAATGAAAATGTGAAATCAGCCAAAACTAGGAACCAGTAGCAATGACTGTTTTGTTGTTGTTGTTTTTTCCTTTAAAGGAGTCATTTTTAGGCATGGAACTATTTCTTACCTGGCCAAAACAATTTTGACACATTTTGAACAAAACTCCAAAGAGGACTTGATTTAAAAAGTGACTGGTACTCACTGAAAATTTCTCATACAGCTGGTAGGTGAGCAGAGGGTTTGGAAGCTCTCGGAAATACAGCTTGCAGAGGGAGCCCACGGAATGGATGTCCTGAACATAGGGTTCTTTTGTCAAGTCGGGGACATGTTCAGAGTCAAATTCATGGCTAACAAAGACAGCAGAGTGACAAAATTATTTTATTAAAGGAAAAGCAAGAATATTTGGGAAAGCACGAACCCAAATAAAATATATAGACAAATAAATATAAATGTATGGATAAATGTGAATTGATATTTTTACCTCAGTGAATTGTTTTTTTTCCAGCAGTAATTGGATGTTTGATCATAAGTGTTTTTCTATGTGAAAATTAAGGGCATAGCTTTAATATAAAGATGGACAACGATCTCTGAAATGCTTATGAATGAGCAGCTCTTAATACACAGATCTAAAAACGGGACTCAGTTCCTCATGGTTTGAATCTGTGAGATTTTGGCAATTCTGGAGACTAGGACTGAGTGGCAGCTGGTCCATGAATAACCGTGCCCAGAAACCCCTCAGCTACAGGAAGTATGGCCCAGGAGTGGTTTATTAAAGACGGATAAGAAAGCCAGAGACAACATCAACCAATCCCCAGCCAACACCACATTGTAACAGACGGTAAAATCCGTAGCAATGAAGTGAATGGAATAAAAGTTGCGTTCAGAAAGCGAGGGCAGGTTACGCTCACTCTCCAGGAGGTTAATTAATATTAATCTACAGGCACGAGACCACTCATCAACCCAGAGGATTAGTGTTTGTGGATTTATTAGTGAATATGAGGTTTGCTGCACGTGAAAGACTGAAACTGTCTTAGTACCAGAATCAGGTGAAGTACTTTCCAATATGTATTCCTGAAAACAGAGGTGAGCTCTGCGGTCAATTAGGATATTAAAACCCCCGTAGAGTAAACGGCATTTCCATGCACCACAGTGAAAATGAAAGAAAAATAACACATTAAGAATAGACCAGAAGCTAAGAGATTGAGCAAAAATAAAATCTCTATTGCTGGTGTAAAGGACACCGTGATTTTGGGGAAGATGATGAGAGCGGATGTGAAATACGTAACACGTGCACACCTGAGCATAGAATACAGAACAGGTATCCAAGGAGATCAGAAAGTTTCCCTCGTCAATTTTAATTAGGAATGAAAGACTAATTCTATTAATTCTATTCTGATAATGTAAACTTCATCTGCCATGGTTGTCATGGGTTCAAGTTCAATAGCGAAAATCATCAACTATTGTAAAGGGAAAACACAAGGACTGACAAGGTGAAGGGGGCATGGTGTTCTGATACTGTAAATGGCATTTAGGAAAATACACACAGAGAACAATACGTTAGAGTTGCCTATTTTTTCTAAACTATCTTATTGAATTATGGTTATCAATGTAAGAGATTTAATTCTGAATTTCATTTTAATGAATTACAATAGGAATGAAAAAGGAAATGCCATAGCAGGTTTTACCGTAGCCTCTGGATATTGGAGGCAACACCAGAGAGGCGATATATTCCGTCCACAATGCCATATCTCTCGATGAATGCCGTACAGCTCTGAAGAACCTGGGGGACTGAAGAGTAATGTTAAAGACGTGGGTTAGATGGGAAGGACTCCACAGAAAATGAGAATACCTTAGTTCTCATCAGCAAAATAAAATGCGAGTTAAAGTTATAGGGGTGGAATTTTAATCTACTACAAAAAAATGAAGAGGGCATGTTTACTTAATTTCATGTCTCAACAGATAACTGCAATTTTTCACTTTTAAGAGTTTTTTTTAATCTTTTCATAGTTAATGCTAATTCTATTTTTATCTAATAAATAAAACACCAACATAACACAAAGGTCAAGGCAATTTCAAGTAGATAAGACCTTAATTTCCTGCCTATCTTTACATTATAAATACTGACCTTTTGACTTAATATTATCAGCTCCTTATAAAGTGCACCCCAACAATAAGTTGAAAGAAAAGATGGGGTCTGTCTGGTTACTTCACTGAATATCTGACACAAATGGCCAACTATTTGGGGCCTACACTGTAAAAAAGGACGTTCCAACTATATGATAAAGCTCTTTTTATAACCATTCAAACATGTACAGCAGCTGAAATTGAACTTTGTTTTGCAATACAGACTGGTAAATTTTTAGTAACTTTCATTTGATAGTTTTAGTTCAAATCCCTGAAAAGCAGTGCTTGGACGAACACTATTTGGTTGCAATGAACGACTATACTAGGGATGAAACACACAGGAGTGGTGAATGAAATGATATTTAAGAAGATACTTTTAGGTAATGTATTGCACGTATAGTACACAGTAAGTCCTCACTTAACGTTGTTAAGGATTCTGAAACTGTAAGTGAAATGACATATAATGGAATCAGTTTTACCATAGGCTGATTGATCCAAACAAGAGTTCCTACACTGGCATCTCACCCACATTATAACAAAATGATGCTGAAAGAAATGATGTTATTCCAGGACTTGCTGTACATCATGATTATACCTGCAGACTTTTCCTTGGTTTTCCTGAAACAAGCTCCTTAGCTTTAAATGAGTTTTTTAAGCAGCTATATTACTGAATATGTAATATGTGCCAGGCTACATGCTTTATAATGGACACCCTCACTTAAATCTCATGGAAATCCTATGAAAAAGTTGTTTCATCTCGGGGTGGCGGCTTCCAGCAGCATCTGTGCAGCGTTATTAGAAAATGCATCGTGACTTTTTGTTGGGGAAATATGATTAACTAAGGAATTAATTTCAGAGTTATTTGGATCTTGTTTGTTTGTTTTTTCCCCCCAAGTGTGCTCTGATTATAAAATTCCTGTTTGTTTTTTCTAACTATTGTAAAAAATCGTTGGAAAAAAACTCAAACACAGAAGTAAGTTCAGACTACAGAGTTTCCTCACCTTGAGTTTTAAAATAGATTTTATATTTTGTGCCAAATATCATTTTACCGAGCGTCCTACCAAGTTCTTGCTTTTTTGTTTAAAGAAATCTCATTTGAAATTTCACTGTAAGGAAATTCAGTTTCAGATATGTGCAGCAAATAAAACAAGTCCTATTCGAAACTGATGACGTTTGAAAACTGTTCCACTAGAATAGATTTTATCACAGTTACGGAATGAATGAACACTATAGTTATTAAACCTGTTTGCTGCCTTCTTAAATGTTGGCAACCATCCTCTCCTATCGTACTTATTAAGAATGAAAACACACCAGAAACTTCTAAGTACAACTAAAACGTGCTGAATCGATGTGTGAAAGCTAATGAGCATGGCAAACAAACTGGAAAACACTCCCTCATATTAACGATCACATTCAAGCAAGCTTGAACAACAACAAAAAGAAATACAAAAAGAAAAAGAAACAAAAAAACATCTGACTCCATCACTCAGGGTGCAACAGTAAATGACAAATTAGTTTGATCTATCCAAAAAAAGTACCATGTGGGGAGATTTTTTTTTAAAAAACCGGTTCTGTGAGTAACTGTGCCATAACCTTTAATTAACTCAATTATAAGTATTGTGGTTTGTGGGAGCTGAAACTGTAAGATCATCCTGAGTGAATTCTGACACCAGGGATCACAAAAAAAGAATTTTTGAAAGACCTTGTCAGGCTCCTACTCGAATTCTTACAACACCCTGCTACAGGAGAAACAGGTCAGGCTTTTCTCTTGATCCCACAGGGAGGTGCTCAAAAGTTCAGAAAGTGTTAACAGGATAAGCTCTCCATAAAGTCGATTATTCACTAGGAATACAATCCAGAGAATGAGTCACGTAGCAAAACATTCTACGGATATGGGCTTCCTTCTTAGAAAAATCTGGTGCATAATCTATTTTATATATTTATGTTTTATATTTTATATATTTTAAAGTCCCAACTAATAGGGTAATCATGAGGAAGAATGATCATACATATTATATAGCTATCCATAGTTGTATCTCCTCTCTCCTCACAATTACATATACAAAATATCAACATATCATTCTTCCTCCTCAGGGTTATTCTGTTTTCACTTAGACTTTAAATATCCTATTTAATAAAAGACTAATATGCAAATTGACCGAACGGCAGAAAGACTGGTCACTATGATGTGCACTGACCACCAGCGGGTAGACGCTCAATGTAGGAGCTGCCCCCTGGTGGTCAGTACACTACCACAGGGGGAGCACTGCTCAGCCAGAAGCCGGGCTCATGGCTAGCGAGTGGAGCAGCGGTGGGGGGAGCCTCTCCTGCTTCCGCAGCAGCACTAAGGATATCTGACTGCCAGCGGGAATGGGCTTAAGCTGTCAGTTGGACATCCCCCAAGGCTCCTGGACTGCAAGAGGGTGCAGGCCGGGGAGGGACACCCCCCCCCCCCCGCAGTGCATGAATTTCATGCACCGGGCCTCTAGTTACATATGATATATATTCAATTCTCCTTGTTTTAATTTAAGCTTTGAAATAGTCTCTCTCTCTCTATCTATCTATGCACTTATGTTATGACTAGTTATAGACTATATACAGTACATATAAAGTCTCAAAATCTTAACTTTAATTCCTCACACATTTATTAAATCAAAGACAAATTAATAAATCAATTTAATATTAAAAACCATTTTCTTTCCTAATTAAAATTTTAGTTGATAAACTTCAAAGGTTTCTCTCTGTGTTTAGTCTTTATTAAATATTCAAATTATTTCCGTCATATGAATATTTATTCATCATTGTCATCATCCCCAATAAAGAGGAAATTATTCTAAAATACCAGCTAGAACAGTGGTTGGCAAACTGCGGCTCGTGAGCCACATGTGGCTCTTTGGCCCCTTGAGTGTGGCCACAAAGTTTCAATCACACTGTACGTGCGCGCCTGCACATGATATTTTGTGGAAGAGCCACACTCAAGGGGCCGCAGTTTGCCGACCACTGAGCTAGAATGTATGTGACCTCAGTCTTCAAGATTTATTAAATTACAATTACACTCTAATGTCACAAATTAACTTTGTTTTCTTTTTTGTTTTTCTAATCACTTGAACAGACTTTCTCCTCTGGATCAGCCTATAGCAGAATTCTCTTCCATGACTATTAAATTAATTTCTAACATTCTACTAGTATTTTTTCTTCTTTTTAATTAAAAAGGCAGGAAAACTAAGAAAAAAAATTACAAAGTTTCCACATTTAATATGCCACCACAATTATATTCATTTTATATATCTTCTAAGTATCCATACATTTAAAAAGGTAAACTTGCCCTAACCGGTTTGGCTCAGTGGATAGAGCGTCGGCCTGCAGACTCAAGGGCCCCAGGTTCGATTCCGGTCAAGGGCATGTACCTTGGTTGCGGCCACATACCCAGTGGGGAGTGTGTAGGAGGCAGCTGATCGATGTTTCTGTCTTACCGATGTTTCTAACTCTCTATCTCTCTCCCTTTCTCTCTGTAAAAAATCAATAAAATATATTTTTTTTAAAAAAAAGGTAAACTTACTGTTTATATATAACACTAGAGGCTTGGAGCATGAATACTGGTGGGGTCCCTTGGCCTGGCCTGTGGGGATTGGGCCAAAACCGGCTCTCCAACATCCCCTGAGGGGTTCTGGATTGCAAGAGGGCAGTTCTCGGGTAATGCACCCTGGAATTGGGCTCCCTCTTCTCTGGTTCTGGGTGCATTACCTGAGAACCGCAGCTGCCAAGTCACCGCAGCTCGGTAGCTCCTGCATTGAGCATCTGCCTCCTGGTGTTCATTGCGCATCATAGCTACTGGTCGGACGGTCGGACAGGCCTTTATATATATATATTTATCGATTTTTCAAATTTCCACACTGTACTCAAATTTACAATTTTAACACCTTCAATTTATGGTTCAAAAGTGAGTACTCAAGTTTTTTGCTCTCATACTTACTGCTATAATGAATATTTTTGTTTATATTGAAATATAACCTTAGGATAAATCCCTAAGGGGAACTGCTACATGAAAAGAACACTATAAAAAAAAGTTTCTTGCTGTGAAGTACCAAAATGTTTTTCAAAAAATTAATAATACACCAAGCTACCCGAAACCAGCAGCTTTTGTCTATTGATAAAATTGCTGCTGCCTTACTGGTATTGGATATTGTGAAAATTAATAAACAGAAATCTTATTTAAAAGTCAGTCAGGAGGCTAGAAGAGAGAACTTTTATGCACCTGTCACTTAACACACACTCCTGACCCCAACAAGAAACATACCTTTCACCTCCAACAGAAAGTGATTTTTTGTCACAGGAAGTGATACTTGATCACCTCAGCAGGAGGAAGAAGACTCCTCCTTTCCCAGGAACAGCTCAGCCAATGGGAGATTGCCAAAACTCAGCCAATGCAAAGTCACTATACTTCGTACTTTCAGTATCCTCCAATGGGCACTAGGTTTACAATAGCCCCGCCCCCAATCCATTAAAAAGGCATTCTCTCCTTTGTTTCCCTGGACTTGGGCATGGTTCTCGGTTAGACTACATGTCCTAAATTGCAATTCTTTCTTGTTCCTGAATAAACACATTTTGCTGGAGAAATATATACCTGTCCACTTGATTACAGTTAATATGATCATAATTTAGAAAAGCAGCTTTATTATATTAATAATGTTTGTCAATATAAAATGATATCTCAAAATGGCTTGAAAATACATTTTCATGACTACAGATGAGCATAAACACTTTTCTGTATTTTGTTTACTGTATTGATATTTACCCTACTTTTCATCAGTGGTCTTAAAAAGTACAATGGGTATTTTCCATCAGGATTTAGAATTTTATAAATCATCTATTTCTGGTACTTATCAACATTATAGGTACTTTGGATACTACTTTAATACTCTAGCACAGCAGTTCTCAACCTGTGGGTCGCGACCCCTTTGGCAGTCAAACGACCCTTTCACAGGGGTCGCCTAAGACCATCCTGCATATCAGATATTTACATTACGATTCATAACAGTAGTAACATTACAGTTATGAAGTAGCAACGAAAACAATTTATGGTTGGGTCACAACATGAGGAACTGTATTTAAAGGGCCAGAAGGTTGAGAACCACTGCTCTAGCATCTCTACAAGAACTGGTAGAGGGAAGTGCATTTTTTTTAAATCAAAAGAAAACCCCATTTTTCTTTCTTCTTATCTATTCATTCCCCTCTATCCATTCACCACCCACTAAAAGCTTGAGTCAGAACTTGATTTACAGGGAACGAAATTAAAAATTTTAGCTATAAAAGTTGGAAGACTGGGCTTGGTATTTTATAGCCTCAAAACTATGGCTATATTTTTCAAACAAGAAATTAAGTAAATATTTTAGAATAAAATGTGGGAGGGGAAATCTGGCTGAGAAAGCTATCTGGACAGATATAAAAATAATGCCAACAGACCGTGCTTTCTGCGAATGTCTTGCTCTTCCTAAACAGATCAGAAGTAATCTGATTCAAAGTACATCCTTAGACCCGTCTTTATTCTCAGCAACCCCAGAACTAAGATAAGGACCCAAGAATGTTCAATACCTGCTGCCGAACTTAAATGGAACAGAAGTTACTTGCCTAATCTATTGCACAATTGGTTCTAGAAAATCAATATGCAGAGGTTAGAAACTAGAATGATAAGAGTAGAGAATGTATGTTTACCTTCAAAACCAGAATTGAGAAGGTGCTCCCCCAGGTCACAACCAAACACCCTCTCTTTCAAGATCCCCCGCTGCTTCAGCTTCTGTTTTGTTGGTCGAGACTTCATGAATGTGCGTAAGAAAGTGATGAGCTTGCCGTGCTTCTTAGACACTAAAAAACAGGGATAAGGGAAAAACATCTTAGTGTGGCAAGAGGCTACATTTTTACTTAGTATGAAAAGAAATGGAGGTCTTAACAGGTTGACTGCAAAATCATGTATTAAAGTACACTTTATATTCTATGGAAATTTTCAGCACAAGTTTAGGAAACAGTTATTTATAAAATCACAATTTTGCACTGTCTTCTCACCAGTCTGTGATTTTACTTGATGGGACTGTGAGCAACTGTAAGTCTTGTAATCCGTGACTTCTAAATCAAATGGTAAACCAGGCATTTCCCCAATGCATACCTACGGATGCCCCAGGATTATGACTGGTATCTGAGCTTTACTCTAATATGTCACTTTGGAGACCTTCATAATAACTGAGCCTGGAAACGTTGTGAATGTGGTTTTACTTTCTAGTCAATTTCTAAAATATTTTACTTGGTGGTTAGAAATTGTCATGGCATTTATAATCTGGAAATTAAAACAAACAAACACAAAAACAACTCCCTCTTTTTCATTTTATGAAGAAGACAATCCCATTAGGATACAGAACACACTTTTCAAACTAACTGCTACATAAACACAAAACACACACCCATAAAAAAAATTAGACCTCCTATTAACATTCATCTAGGCTACACTAAATATAACCTTAAGTCCTCTGTAGATCAAGGCAAGAGATAAGTAAAAAATATTTCCACTGACAGATACATGAGAAAGACAACAGTGAAAGAACTGAATGCAAACAAAGCTCTAAGCACAGCTTACAGGGTAAATTACTCTAAAATTCCACATACAACAAGTATCATAAGCTCAGAGTGCTGGGCAGAAGGCTGTGTTGCCCCTGAAGACCTGCCTGTGGGACATGGACATGAAAGTGCAAGTCAGCGATACTGATGATCCCAACCCTGTGAAGACCTAGGCTAATTGTGTGTGTGTTTGTCTTTGTTTTCACAGGAGTTTAAAAAGTAAAAAAAATAAAATAAAATTTTATAGCAAACGAGAAAACTAGTTAGTAAAATCATCGTTTGAGGAACAGAAGTCTGGAATGCCGTCAACAATCTCATGAGACTTCCACTGAAGGAGGCAGAGTGGGAGTTTGGTTTTAGACAGTCAAGTGCTTATAAAACATTTCAACAGAGGAGACTGCAATGCAGCTACGGGTCTTAAGGTCAAAGTCTACCAAATATGCTGGATTAGGGACATGAAAATGATAAGGCCACTTCCACAGAAAAAGTACCTCAACAATAAAACACAAACAATACTTAGACAAAAGCCAATCACTCTGACTTATATTCAATTTTCCTGTACTAGAGTTAAAATGTGCCCCAATGTAACTGCTTCCATATTAGATATGACAGATTTTACATCCGAAATCTCTCTTCAAACCTGAGACGAACCCAACTGAACCAGTCTTTCCAGTAGTTAAAAGCTTTAACAGTATGACACACAGTATCTCCAACACAAATCTTTATGACACCAATATCCAGTTTACAGAGCTACCCTCACGGCAGCTCAGTGAGCCCAGTGAACTTTGACATGGAGAAATGGGGCACTGGGTGTCTTAAATTACCCTAGTAAAACATTTCTCTAGCAAAGCCAAAGAATTTTTTCTTTTTCCTAATACTTCACCTAATCTAGAGTTCTCTAAATCCAGTCTCAGAAACCTCCTAGACTGTTTTGAATTAATTTCTCAGGACATTAAAGGAAGCTAATTGGTGCCCATTAATGGCCTCAGCATTACACTTATTTGATTACATGCATCCCATTCTAAGATCTGTAGCAAATTCAGAGTCAAGCTGACAGAATGAGATGATAGGGGTGGGATGCGTAATACCTGCAGAGGTTGTCCTGATCAAACCCAAGCAACAATCAAGTATGAGTATAATGTGTAGCATGTCAAATGGATTTCACAATTGTACACAAATCCTTCTTTGCTCAAAGTTTTCAAACACAGATTAAATGAGCATTTGGAAGAAAGTTAACAGAGGGGGACAGAAGCACAGGCAACTGATATTTAAGAGTTTCTTATCCTCCCAAATTCCAAGTCCCTATTGTATACTTTGAAATACTGTGAGCATCATGGCAGAGCAAGCGTACCCCCCTGTACCCATCTCCCCTTCCATCTATCGACAACTAGGAGGACCTTTATCCAACAACCCAGGTTCCTCTGCTCAGCGAGGAGATTTCCTGAAAGATGCCCACAGCCGTACATCTGAAGGTGAATGTGTTGGCACGTGAAGGGAAGGCAGCATGGTACAGACAGAACAGAACCCACACCCTGATTTCCCAGACACCTCAGCTGAACCCACAGCCCCAACCAACATGGCAGCAGTCAGTGGAGTCAGGGTACAGCCCTTACCACACAGCCCAGCAGAGGGTAAGAGAGGCAGCAGCAGCCGCAGGTAGCACCCATACCTGGCTCTCTCCCCAATTACGGGAGTGCTCAGACCAGGGGAGCCCTGGGAGCAGCAGTGAAGATGTATCTCCAGCCTCCCGGCCACATCGCTGCAGTTTCAGCAGCCACGGGAAATAGGTGGCAGCAGGAGTGGGGGCTGCACCTTGCAAACTGGGCTCCCCTCTCAACTGCCACACACACCCATCACAGTGGTGGCACCCCGAGACCCAGGTGACCTAAACACAGCCATTCCTTTATAGGTATACGGGTGGGATCCAGCTGGCCCGCCCCAATTGGGGCCGATTGGGGTAGGCCAGCCAAGGGGAGGGGCCGCAGGCAGTTGGCCAGCTGGCCCCGCCCCCGATTGGGGTGGGGGGACTGATCATGGCCACAGTGCACATCAAAGCAACTGGTGATTCTGGCATCCCAGTCACTTGGCTTTTATATATATAGATATACCACAACTTATATTTCCATTCTCCTGCTGACTGCCATTTAGAGAGTTTCCAAGTTTTTATTGTTACTATCGATAATTCATTGAAAAGTCTCATTAAGTGCCTCTCTGAGCACGAGGGAGGGAACTCTGGCATCCCCATTCAGGAGCAGGATCGTTGGGTTGTAGAGTATTTTGCTTTCAGCCGTATTTCTTTTATTTATTTACTTTATGACTGATTTTAGAGAGAGAGGAAGGGAGCGAAAGAGAAAAAGAAAGAAACGTCGATTATGTATGCATTCATTAGCTGATTCTTATATGTGCCCTGACCAGGGATCAAGCCCACAACAGTAGCTCATTTATACTCACTTTGTGTTAGCATCACTCTCTGAATGATTTAAACTCAAAATATAAACCAGTATCTAATCACTAGAATTCAGTCCATAATAGTTTTTCATAGAATGGTATATTAAATAAAATCTATTTGATCTCCCATTACATTCATGTAATGACTTCTAAATGGAATAAAGGTTATCAGAATAACGACACTTTATACTTTTCCTCTCTTCTCTAATTTTCCAGATCTAATTTTCAAGATGACCTAATACTCATATTTCAATCCATTTTCCTTAGTGTATCTGGTACTATCCTGAAATATCTAAATACATAGCTTTTGTATGTGGTAAAAATATTCAGTAAGCATAAAATGCTAGCAATTCTAGTTGATGATTTAGAAATATATCCTTGAACCAATCGCCTAATAATTGAAAGCTTTTATACCTTCCTAATAATAAATAAAACAGTCTGATGCAGGCCGTCCGTCCAATCATGCCTCATACCGGCCAGGCATGAGCAAGTGAAAATGTGAAGATAAAGGTTTTAGTCCTGATTCTGCCAAAAACTTGCTGTAAGATTTGAGACAGGGCAATTAACCAGGTTAGATCACAGGTTAAAAATAGAAAAAAAGGAATTTTGCCAAGTAATTTATGAATTCTAGCTGTCAGCTGAGAAATCATAAAACACTGAGAAAGTATAAAGCATGGAAAGCTCTAAAGTCTGTGGAAAATACCTTTGTTTTAGGAAAATTTATCAGGAGGGAAAAAGGCCACCATCTAAAACTTCATTGGCAGGCAGTGTCAAAAACATAAATTAGGCTAAGTCATCTTGGAAAGGGCTGGCATAAGAACTTAAGATAGAAAGGTCATTTAAAATGCTACTGTTTCATGTATAGTATATTAGGCTTAGCACTTTTTAAATTAAATTATGCATTTTTCCCCATGAAAACTTAAAATAGTAGTAAGGAGCCCTTTTATAACTAATTCACACAACATACTTATACTATTTCCAATACGTAATCATACTATCTTCTTTAATTGTTAAAGCCATTCGCAACTGTTGTTCATGCCATACAATACGCCACTGTTTGTTTCATTGATTTATTTGCTAGGAAGACCTTGGTGAACAATATAATGGACATTTATAATATTATTTCTATATAGATGCCGTATGTTTTATAGAGGTTAATTTTTGAATGAGGTTTAAGAATTCACTCTAGGACGAGAGAAACAAAGGTAAATATTATCTATGTAGGTTCTGCCTTTGGAAAACTTGCATCCCACCAGGGCAGTGCTCAATGCAAATCCCTCCTGCCTCTCGGGGAACTGCTGCGTGTAATCTACGCTTCAGAGCAGGAATTCAGCAGCTTCAGCCTTGGATGTCATCTCTCCTCACCCCTTCAAGATGTCCAAGAAAGTCTTTAGGAAAATTTGAGTGTTAAATCTTGATATGGGGCTGAAGTGATTGTGGAAGAAAGTACATAATCATTTTTATCACTGTATTATAAGCAGCTTGGGAGGAGAAGAGACGCACAATTCTCCAACCGGTGCCTTAACAGCTGCACACGACTACCGGGGACCGTCTCTGGGGCCAGCCCAGGGATGAGGCTCTGGAACGGGGACGGCTCCGATATCTGCACATTCCATCCTCAGAGGGAGGACACCAGGTATTTGAGAAATGTCATGTCCACCCAATGCTGAACTAAAAATAACACGGACAGTAATGGCTCTTGGCTCTTGGCTGAAAAACTAGGAAGCTACTAGCAATCACATTAATCAAATTGGCTTCCACTTACTCATGAGAGAGAAGAGGAGGCATTTTCAAAGCCCTTTAAAAAA